TATTTTGTGTGTGTGTGTGTGTGTGTGTGTGTGTGTGTTGAGTAAGAAACTCAAGATCATCATTTTTATACAGAATTACCTTATCACCTCAATGCTTATTAATGGTAGATTTGCAGGCTCTACTATACACATTGAATAGGGAGTGTATATTATTTAAGACTGTAGGAGGTTTATAGACCCTCCAGGGAATGATTTAATCTTATGTTTCTGTAGGTTTATATTTGGGTGGCTGTTGATTCTCCCTGTGTTAAAACAGGTTTTTAAAAATTAGCTAAGTTCCTGATTTTAGTACTTAATTCTGCTCAAGTTTAGTTTTTCTATTAAAATGTCTAAAATGTCATCATCCAGAAACTTAAGATAATTGGTAAATACCTAAAATTTAATCTCCCAGAAACACGGCAATTAATATATTTGAACTGTTGATTAGTGTTAACTATTACTATGATGACTGGAGCGTTAAAATTATTAATTTATGCTCAGTATTATATTGGTCAGGCTAGGCCAGGTTATGCTGCAATAACAGTAAATCTCCAAATCTCAGTGGCTTAAAACAATAAAGGTTTATTTCTTGTGCCCACTATATATTCATTAGAAGTCAGCCAGCGATGTGTCCCACATTGCTGTGATTCTCACTTTGATTTCTGTTCTTGTAGAACAGGTTTTAACAAAGAGAAGAGAGAATGTGGTGAAGCATGCACTGTGCACCAAATACTGTTTTATTTAATACTCATCAATGCTCTGTGAGATCTTAATATTCCCATTTTACAGACAAGGAAACTGAGGCTCAGAGATGTTGCAAAACTTGTGCAATATCACATAGTTTATCATTTGAACACATGCATGTCTGATTCCAGAGTCTGTCCCTATTATTCTGTGTCTTTCTGTCTCTTAAGTTATAGGTAGTTATCCTGGGACCTTGAAATTTTGAATACTGAACTGGTAGGGAATCCAAGGTGCATGTGAAGTTGGACAGTAAAGAAGAAATACCATGTTTCTGGTAGTAACTGCAGGTTCATTTCCCCCTTTATAAAACTACACGCGATTAGTCAGTCAGCAGTTATATCAAACATCCCCTGTTTTTTATATCCCCTGTACATTTAATTCTTCCACAAAATATCATATAACTCTTATGAAATACAATAAGGGGAAATCATGCTAGATTTAAAGGAAAACATATTTCAGTCTTCAAAATAATGTTTAATGATAGTGTCATCAATGTGGTTTAAGTTTGGGTAGTTTAAATGCTTCTATTTTATGCCTCAAACGAAAATCCCTTAAAAGCAATTTTCTTTTTCTTTTTCTGTAGCTCCATGTATCATGAAACTGACTTGTCAGATGTAGTTCTGCAGACCTCCGGGCCACAGAGCAAGGGGCACTGACTCCTGTGTGCTAAGGCTGCAGCTGGGAATCATGCTTTGGCAAGAATATGGGTCATTTATATCTTGTAAAGAGAACAGGATTGTCTTATTCCAACCAGAGAGTTGGTTAGCATAACTGTGTGCATTTTAGTATTCAAATACAGATGTTCCGAAATGTTTCCACTGTGGGAAGCAGCTGCTGCTATTCAGGCTCAAAAATCTCAAAGAGATTAATATACAGAGGCAGTGTGAACCTTAGTGGCAAATGCAGCATCTGCTCGAGGTGGGGCCCGAGAGTCCCCACAGATCGGGTCTTCAGATTCTCGTTAACAGCCTGAAACCATGTTTCAGATCTCGGCTTATTCTACACGCACGGGAACAAAGACAAGTGATTAATTTGTAATTCACCTCGTTGATAAATATCATCATGGGTTATTTGCTCTGGGGCTGTAAAACACTGGACTTTATTTCCTGTGGCAAGTGATAGGAACATAGATGTTTGGCCACAATGACGGATGGTCTCGGTTGCCGTTACTCGCTCCTGCTTGGTAACGGAGCCCAGCCCAGCCGGCTTGCAGTCACAAAACATCCATCCACACTCAGCGATGCATTCACAGGGAACTCTGTGCTGCATGCCGGACACTCACACACACTGCTTCTGGTCCCATCCCAGCCCCGGGAAGTATGTCCTCTGTCATTCTCCACGCCACGCACACAAAGTAAGAAGTGAAGAAGTAAAATGACTAACGGGGTTAGGCAGCCAGGGCCTCTCACTCTAAATCTGGTTCCATTTTTTTTCCTTTTTCAAATATTTATTTACTTACTTATTGGGGTGAGATTGGTTAATGAAATTGTGTAGGTTTCAGGTTTACAATTCTATAAAACATCGTCTGTATATTGTATTGTCTGTTCACCACCCCTTTCATCACCACTTACCCCGCCTTTACTCACTTCTACCTGCCCCCCTCCCCCTTTCCCTCTTAATCACCATACTGGTGTCTGTCCATGTGTTCCATTCTTTTTTTTAATTTTATATTTTATTGATTTTTTTTTTTTACAGAGAGGAAAGGGGAAGGATAGAGAGTTAGAAACATCGATGTCAGAGAAACATCGATCAGCTGCCTCCTGTATCCCCCGCCCCGACCCCCCCCCCACCCCACCCGGGATGTGCCCGCAACCAAGGTATATGCCCTTGACCGGAATTGAACCTGGGACCTTTCAGTCCGCAGGCTGACACTCTATCCACTGAGCCAAACCGGTTTCGGCTGTGTGTTCCATGCTTATACAACACCACCCTGTCTCTCCAATTTCAGAGGCTCTGATGTGCTTCATAAATCACATCATCCTTTCTGGAGAAGTTGGTTTCCAGGACACCGCATGAGGCGTCCCAGCTCCCAGCACCGCCTGGTAACGGGAGGGAGGCAGGGAGAGCTGACGCAGTGGTCCTCCCTCTGCCCCCCATCCCAGAGGGGAAATGCCCGCACACGCCCTTCCCGTGTGTTCAGAGAGCTTCAGCAAATGAGCCCCCGTGTCTCCCTGGCATTCGGAGAAATGAAGGCCCAGAAGCTGAAAACCCCAGGGCTGCCATTTGCAGTTGCCATAAACCAGAAGTTCTAGGAACAGTGACGCCCGGGGTGTTGTGCCTGCCCCACGCCTTATAAATCCATCCCCTGCAGTGTTCAAGGGCTCATTGCCTCCAACCAGTTCTACTGTTTGGAATTATCACATGAATTATTTATGGCTTGCACATTTGACAGAGGCTCATGGCTGAGTTTCAAAACACTCAGGTCCTGGCTTGGGCCTAGAAATGTCGTCTAGAAAACCGAGGCTCAGAGAAGTTAAGTTTCTAAAGGTCCCCAGAGCTAGTAAAGGGCCATGCCATTTTGTGTGTTTTTTAAAAATCCCTCCCCTCCCCCCGCCAAAACTGGTTTGGCTCAGTGGCTAGAGCGTCGGCCTGCGGACTGAGTGGTCCCAGGTTTGATTCCAGTCAAGGGCATGTACGTTGGTTGCGGGCACATCCCTGGTGGGGGGTGTGCAGGAGGCAGCTGGTTGATGTTTCTCTCTTATCGATGTTTCTAGATCTCTATCCCTCTCCCTTCCTCTCTGTAAAGAATCAATAATATATATATATATATATATATATATATATATATATATATATACACACACACACACACACACACACACACACACACACTTTTATTGATTGTAGAGAGGAAGGGAGAGGGAGAGTGAGATAGAAATGTCAGATAATCATTGATGGGCTGTCTCTTGTATGCCCCTCCTGGGATTTGAGCCTGCAACATGGGCATGTGCTTTTGACCAGAATCTAAACCAGGACTCCTCAGTCCACAGGCCACTTCTCTATCCACTGAGCCAAACTTGCTAGGGCAAGGGCAGTGCAGTTTTGAACCTAGTGTGTCTGAGTCTAGGTTACACTAGCTCCACAGTCACAGATCCATGTGTTTTACTTTGAGGGCAACACAGATTTGTGGGTGGGAGGTTTGTGCACTGTGTCCCGCTCCCTCGCCATGCTGGGGCAGAGAAGAGCCCAGAGAGTGAGGTGGGGAGGGCCAGCTAGAAGCAGAGTCCCTGGCTTGCGGGAAAGGAGGAAGGGGAGGGACCAGGAAGGGGAGGGATCAGGAGTTGTGAGCGGCAGAAGGCCCCCCAGCACGATGCGCTGACATGAAGTGAGGACCTGAGGCCAGTAAGTCCCGGTGGCATGCTCTTTGGTGAGTGTCCCTGCTGCTCCTGCCAGAATCACTCTGCCGCAGCATTGTGAACTCCATGGAATTGTTTCTGCTCTCTAACACTCAGGGAAAAACCGAAAAAGTAACTTATTATTTATTTCCTCTCTATTTTCCTCAATCTTTTGTTGGAACATCTGTGATATGATAAAAGCAACTCAAAATGATACCAAATCCTTTGCAAACACATAATTTGCACGCATTATAAGGATGATAAAAAAAAAAAGATGATCAGTGCCTCCATTATTTTGATCAAGAACTATTTCATGGGTAAAAAAAATTGGGAAGCAATTCCCTCATCTATAAACTACTAACGAAAGTGCTCTGAAGTGTGCAGACATAGAGCACATCTCACAAAGGAAGCCCTGGCTCCGGTGCACAGCAGCCCTCGCTGTTTCTCTCTAGCCAGAGGCCCGGTGCAGACCGCCTTTTACCACTAGCGTGTCCATTTGCTTTTGGGAAAAGGCTAGATACATGCCTAGGAGTGCAAAGAGCCAAGCATGGATTTCTCCTACGAATTTCCTGTGCTGTACTGTAACTAACTTTGGTTTTCTTCAACATTTCCTTAGACTACAGAGTAACGTTAATAGCTATTAACATAGCTATAATATCATAATATTAGAAATATCATTTTTAAGATGACGGTTTTGTGGAGTACAGCCTGCGTCTGTGAGATTAGGTATTGAAAGTTACTGATTAAATTGTCATTGTCCTTTTATTAGGAGCTCGCTGTTCGGATGGGCTCTCAGTTCTGCGTAGGTGTGTGAGCCGCTGATAGAGATCAGGGCTTGGCCTGGGCGGTTACAGGCGATCTCTGTAACATGCTATCTGCTGAAGCCAACCAAAGCCATCCTCTGGTGTGTTTTCATGTCTCTGCTTTATGCTTTCTCTCTAGGCAGCTTCGTCAGCCCTGAGCAGTCTGGGCCACGTGTACACGGCCATTGGTGACTACCCCAATGCCCTGGCCAGTCACAAACAGTGTGTCCTTCTTGCCAAGCAATCCAAAGACGAGCTTTCGGAAGCCCGAGAACTCGGCAACATGGGAGCAGTGTACATCGCCATGGGCGACTTCGAGAATGCTGTGCAGTGTCACGAGCAGCATCTGAAGATAGCCAAGGACCTGGGCAACAAGCGAGAAGAGGCCCGGGCCTACAGCAACCTGGGCAGTGCCTATCACTACCGGAGGAACTTTGACAAGGCCATGTCTTACCACAACTATGTGCTGGAGCTGGCACAGGAGCTGATGGAGAAGGCCATTGAGATGCGGGCCTACGCTGGCCTGGGCCACGCTGCCAGGTGCATGCAGGATTTGGAGAGAGCGAAGCAGTACCACGAGCAGCAGCTGGGCATTGCCGAGGACCTCAAGGACCGAGCCGCAGAAGGACGGGCATCCTCTAACCTGGGTAAGGACAGAATGGCCTGCGATCCAGGTCAACTCCACGGGCTGGAGATAGCTGGAGTAGCCCACTGTCTGTGTTTTATTCAAATGAATCTCTCCAATGTGCGTGCTGTATATTTCCTTCAGTTATATTTCCTTGGAGCCTGTCTGCTCTAAATCACATGATCCTTTCTGTCATCACAGTGCTCTAAGGATTAGAACTCTGAAATGCTGGAAAAACAAAACACCCCAACCTTTTAATCTGTCTAGAGAGAAGAATGAGCAGATTTATCTAATTAGAGAGAAGGAATGAAATGAGGATATAAAGCTATGTTTGGCTTAAATGAAAGAGAAGCTGCTAGGAGGCCATCAATGAGAGAGAATTCGAGATGTTTTTGTTCAAAGGGGTTTCTTTACTTGGTGACTTGAACCCCACAGGAAGTGTATTTTTCCTCAATAGTTTGTGTATTCCCACACGATACTGATAGATTAGTATAAATGCAAAATTACTTTTTGAAATATCTATTGAAATAAGATAGACTTGCGGTCACTATTTTGATAGTACCCACCCATTGGTTGTAGTTAAGATTTATATATTTGGATTTGTATAGTAAGAGACACTAAATATTGGTAACGGGCCACTTTTTAGAAGATACCGTTATCTTGTCTCCATACCTGGGTATGGGTTCGTAATGAATGGAAGGAACAGATGTGTTTGGAAGTATAAGCTGAACTCAGTCTTGTGCCTGGATTTGTTCTGTGTCCACAGGGACTGAGGAAGGGGAGAGGACAGAGAAAAAGTGACCTTATTGGTATTAGTGTATGCTTATCAGATACTAGTAGCAGCAGAATATAAAAATCAGCCTTTTATGTGACCTACAAAACCTAGGCACCTCATCTCTAAGTAATTTAAGCACTACCCCTTCCTCTCCCCTCCTCTGTTTATTGTAACCATATGTTTCATGAATATGGTTGTTAGAAGTCTGGAAGACCCCTGGAATTGACTCTGATGATGGCATTGAGGTCAGAATGAGGGTCTAGAGCAGGCGTCCTCAAACTTTTTAAAGTGGGGGCCAGATCACGGTCCCTCAGAGAGCTGGAGGGCCGGACTATATGAACTACTAATTCCTACTGCAACACCTCAGCTGCGCTCACTACCCAAAAAACCTGGCGGGCCGGATCAGACTCCTCTTCGGGCCGCATGTGGCCCGCGGGCCGTAGTTTGAAGACGCCTGCCTAGAGAGTCGGTAAGAACTATAGAAATAAGCTCTTGGCATTATATATTCGTTCAATGGATCAAGTATTATTGAATCAGTCATTTATTGAATCATGTGCTAAATCCTGGAATAGTTGCCTTAAGGTATAGAGAAGTTAAAAAAAAAAGCTTATAATTTAGTTGGGGAAATAAGATTAATACATAGGACAACAGGGGCCTCCCTTTAGGACAGTATTAATAATGCTGTAATGCCATGCAATTCCCAGAAGGGAGACCCTGGGGGCTTGGAATGACCTAGAAAGCTTCTTGGAGGAGATGAGACCCAGGTAGACCTTAAAGAATAGGTGAGATTTGGCCGGGAATGGGATGGCATTGGTGGTAAGGGATATGTGGCAGAAGGTATAAGAAAGTTAGGTTGGCGTATCTGAGGGGTGGTGGCATGATTAGACTTCAGGAATGTGCTAGAGGGTGGTAAAGATTACTATGAAAAGTAGGCAAGGGATATGCTAATGAGCAGGAATTCCTGATGCTTTTGAAATGTAGGCCTAAGAAAATAGACTAGATATTTAAGGAAGACAAGTCAAGCAGGGGCACATAGGATAAATTGGAGGCCTGAGAACCTTAACTGGCTTTACAGCTTGGACTATTTAGATTCTCTTTATCTTAATTTGAATTAGTTTTATTTTCCAAAGACTTTCTTCAGGTCATTTAATTTATTGAAATAAAGTTATTTATAATGTTTCCTTAATTTTCTTTTAATGCTTGTAGGATATATAATGATATGCCCTATTTCATTTCTGGTATTGATAATTTGTGGGTGGTGGTTGTTGTTGTTTTTTTTTTTTTTTTACACCTGTACTATTTTCTAGATCATTCTGGCTTGATATATATAAATTTTCTTGATGTCTTTAAAAAACTGCATTTTTGTTAAATTTTTCATTGCTTGTCTATTTTTGATGACATTTATTTCCAGTCTCACTTTTATTATTTTCTTCTTGATACTTACTAACTTTCTTGTTTCTTAAGGTTGAACTTTAGGTCATTGATTCTAGATCTTTCTTCTTTCTAATACAAGTGTTTAAAAATATAAAATTTCCTCTAAACGCTGCGATAGGTGCATCCAGTAATTTCTTATGTATTAGGTTACCTTCAATAAGTTCCAAACATTTTCTAAGATCATCTGTGATTTCCCTTTAACACCTGTGTTATTTAGAAGTATTATTTAAATATTAATATGTTGGAGATTTATTGTTATCAAATTCTAATTTAATTTCATTGTGGTCTGAGAACATATTTGTAGGATATATATTGTATTTTCTATCTGTAGAATTTACAGTTGGTTCTTTTAATGAAAATTTCCATTTAACTGCTAAGATTTATATGTTTATTACATGTATATTTTTTCTTTCCATAGCTGAGCCTAGATATGACAAAAGCTTTTATTTTATTTTATTTTATTTTATTTTATTTTATTTTATTTTATTTTATTTTTATGTGTGAATATTGCTTTATTTTATTCTCTTCAAACCTGTTATAGCAGCAAAGAATAAGCTTAGGTCACAGCCCTCCACGGTGGCTGCTCCTTGTCCTGCATGAAGGGGAGGGAGGCTCTCAGCCATTTTCAGCTCAGGGTGGGGGAGAGGGAAACACCTTTTAAAGCATTGTCTGCCAATTCCACGCTGTCCTCTTATAGTTGGACCATGCTGACTACCTATTGCTGATGTTGTTTTGTAACAGCTTGGTTGAGATATAATTCACATACCATACAATTTAGTAGATAATTCAGTGGTTTTTAGTATATTCACAGAATTGTGCATTGATTGCCTTTTGTACTGAGTATTAGTGACATTTTATTGTTTCTTTTTCATTGTTGTTAACCCTCACTTGAGGTTATTTTTTCCATTGTTTTTTCAGAGAAAGTGGAAGGGAGGAAGGAAGAGGGATAAAGGGGGGAGAGAGAGAGAGAGAGAGAGAGAGAGAGAGAGAGAGAGAGATCTCCACCAGTTGCCTCCCCAATGCACCCTGACTGGGGATGGGGAGTGAACCTGTATTCCTTGGGTGTGCAGGTCAATGCTCTACTCACTGAGACACACTGGCAGGGCTATTGTTTCTTTTTATAGCCTATATCCAGTAATATGGAATTATATCCAGCCTTGTGAATGATACTTGATAGAGGTTCTTGATTCTGATATATGCTACTTAGACTCTGCCTTTCACATACATATTTCAGGAGTTAGAGATTCAGTTAGAATTTATATTCAGAATTTAGGGCCCCCCACTGTGGCTCTCTATGGGATTTATTCCTTTGGTTCTTCAAGCAGTAGGGCTGTGTTTTTCTACCTGAATGTTAGCCCCACCACCTTACATTAATTGGGGAAGAAAAGATGTTCTTTGGCATTTCAAAAATGGGAAACTCACCCGATGCCACTCCCTTTTTCAAATGTTCAGCTCTGACCTCTCTGTCGTTTCTCACTCTTATGGTTGAGCTTCGTTGCCTTTACCAGAATTCCTGCTGTTCTTTTTTAATCCATTGCTATTTGCTTTGCTTCTTTTGTCCCCTGAAAAAAGATCAACACTGAACTCCTCATGCTGACTTTTACTATCTTCTGACAATTCTAAATTTTCCTAATCAGTATGCAGCATCGGCGTGATTTACTAACTGTTCCTTGAAATTCTCTCCCCTCCTAGTTTCTGTGAAGCATGCTCTCCTAATTTTCTTCTTGGCTGCTCTTCTTGTGCCTTCTTCATTGGTATTTTTTTGAAAATGGACAATTTAAAAAAGTTACAAAAGTCGTACTTACTCTTGTAAAGAAAAAATTCTTATAGTACATAAGTGTAAAAAGTAGAAAAAGGAGATCCACTCCCTTACATTTTTACCTTCCTCTTTCCCACTCCTCATAGTTGGTTAGAATCTTTTCAGACCTTTAACTATGTACATAAAAACATGGCAGGCAGTACAATCATATATGTAAATATACACATGTATGTATATGTTGTCACCGAGTTTTGTTTCTTGATTTTTTCTATTCTTTATATATTTTCCTTATCATTTTTAATTACTGCTTCAATGTGCATTATTTCTAAATTTTTGTTCACCAGCTCTGACCTCTGAATATTATTTTTACATTTCCAACTGCCTAGTGGATACTCCATCTGATTTTCATGCTGATCTGTCAAAGTGAGTACAAACATGACATTTTTTTTCTAAATTAACTGCTTCTCCCAGATTGCCTAATTCGGTTGATGACAGCCGCTGGCCATCTGTATTAATATTCTATTGTCGTAGCAACAAATTGCCACAAACTAGTGGCTTAAAACAACACAGATTTATTCTCTTACAGTCTGGAGGGCGAGAGTCTGACATCAGCTCCACCAGGCTGAAGTCAAGGTGTCAGCGAGGCCGCCTCTTCTGCAGGTGCTAGGGGAGAACGGCTTCCAATGGCACCTGCATTCCCTGGCTTGTGGCTTCTTCCTCCTCCTTCAGAGCGCTGCGGCTCCCATCTCTGCTTCTGCCATCACATTGCCTTGTCTTCTGCCCTGACTTCTCTTGCATCCCCTGACAACAACTGTTGTGATTCACCCAGGGCCACTTGAATAATCCAGGGTGCTCTCCTCATCTCAAGATGCTTAACTTCATCACACCTGCTAATCCTTTCTGCCATGTAAAGTAACACTCACAGTTCCCAAAATCAGGACAACAGCATATTTGTGGGGAGGAAGCATTATTCAGCCTATCATTCCATCCTAACTTAGAAATCTAAAGTCATCATTGAGCCGAAACCGGTTTGGCTCAGTGGGTAGAGCATTGG